TATAGAAAATGATATCGCAGTCACCATCATTGATGAAAACGAGGAATAACGTGGGGTCTAAAACAGAATATTTGGGACTCCTTTGTCCAGGGTTACCCCTGAGGACTCTGTCGTCCAATGTGCACTCTTTGCGACCGCCCAGTCAGGAATCGCTCGATCCAAACAAGGAGGCTTCCGCAAACGTCTACGCTGCGCAGTGTTTCCTAAGGGGGTTGGTGTGTAACGCCGGAGAAGGTCTTTTAAGTTTAATGTAGACTGTGTGCACTGAACTCCCTTCCTCGCATGCTTTATTTCGCGATTCAGGTGAAAAGAGCGGACTTGTAACACAGGACCTGCCACAGCAAAAGTCGTCTTAGGCGCAGGACTGCAGAGTACTCTCCGTGATTTCGCAACATGTGAAGGTATGGTTCACCGGGCTGTAGTTATTTGCAGATGCTCGACACCCACTAATAAATAACGAAGAGGTAATTTCAGCCTTCCGAGTGAAGGGTTGGTCCCCGTTAGCGAATGTACCACGAAAACCGCGGGTACTGTCCTGGCTACTCCAAATGTGGGCTCCAGTAACATCTTGATCAGGATTTCATCAAGGCTCATGGAAATTGACTCTTTCCAGTTTGGCAACTCTTCATGAATGACTCTTTCGGTTAAGAGGACTGTCTCGATGGCGAGCATTTCCGACAAACGGAACAGTGAGGGCCATCTCAAAAACGCCCTCAATGGCGATCGGATTATTTTTGCAGTAGGGATTAAGTAGATTTTAAAACAAATGACCTTCCGACACAAAGCACTGGCAGTATTTTGGATACGCAAAAGAGAGCCCAGAAAGAGCATTATTCTGAATTCGATGCCTATACCTGCCGCAGAAATGTTAGACGTCAGTAAATGTTCCAGGAAGGATTTGCAGGATTCAATCAAATCAAACAATTAGTGATCAAAAATCTCCGTTGTTACTCTATTTACTGCCAACGAATAGTTAAACAATGAAACGGTTGCACAGTTCGCGCGCGAAAGAGGAGACGTGAATATTAGATGATTAAACGGCAGTTCTCGATGACGCCTATCTCTATCAACCGGATGATCATTGAAATATTTTAGAGGTCATCCAGGTCTTGTAATAAGAAAATAAAATGTTTTCCAATTCCAGTGGAACACTATTAATTTTCAATGACTGAGTATAGCATAGAGTAAAATGAAGTTTGGTGTTTCGTGGGGTCAATAGTATTTCCAACGTACTTCAAGAAATGGCGTTATTCAAAAGCAGATATCTGGTAGAGGAAGTGAAAGGAGGATGGTTACTGTCTGAGGTCGCACAACCGGTTGATAGATCTTGAACAGTCAGACGAAGCATGTAAGTTATATGGTTATTATCAAGAACGAGACTTTCTCGTAACTGGTCCCAAGTTTTTATAACAACCAGACACTCGACAAGGTCAACCACGTCTCATAACGGAAAAAGAATACGCTTTTTAATTCCAGGTGAACAATATCTCTTCTCAGTGACTGAATATTGTAAAGCGCAGGGGGGGGGGGTTTAATGTTTCGTGGGGTAAATACATAATACCGCATAATTCATACAAATGGCAGATATCAGATAGAGGAATTGAATTATGCTGGTTGCTGACAGAGCTTGTGCAATAGTTTGCAAGAGCTTTATAACAATGAGAAAAAAACAAGTAAGTTCTCCAATGATTATAAGGAACGACATTCAACCATAACCAGGCACTAAACAAGAGCATAGCAGCCTATTCCATGAAAACGCCTACATCCACGGTCTTATGCATTATCGTAGTCATGTGCGCCAAGACAGTTCTGCCGTTGAGGCAGCTTCTAAATAAAAATCACATGGAAGTTAGCTAAATGGAAGGATCGACGTTCGCAGCTGGTATGTTCTACTGACTTGTGGCTGTCAAGCAGACAAACATTTTTTCACACATTGCACGTGTGTACAGGCGTTCGGACAGGCCGTAAGGCGTCCTCAAACCCTCCAGGCAGCGACTAGTCGTTGACATAGAAACGTCCTATCCGTCTAAACTGACTGACAACCGCGCCTACGATTGCCAGCGTGGAGCCTTTGCAAGAAGAGCCCAGACTCCACGCAGGCAATGACGTGTACGTGCCTGAGGCGTCGCGCGTAAACGGAGACCGCGTCTTTCGTGTACGCGTGTGACGCACTCTGTCAGTTTTAAAACAATTGTCATCGCTGATTGCCGATTCTGCAAGTGAATTACTTTTGCCGCTGTTATGTTTACAGTGCAGTGTATTTAGACAGCTTCCTCGTCACGCTCCTTTGAGTATGTTTCTTTTTTGCATTAAAACTTACCTTTCAACTTTTAATTTAGACAGACTGAAAGGTTCATTTTTGGATGATTAGCTGTTGTCCGTTAGCCCTACCTAGTCCCAGGATAGGAAATCATGGAGGACGGGCGTCGCGTGAATGCCAAATACTTGGACTGCACTGCGGTCCTTTTGTACACAACGTACAGCATCAGTTTACCGTATTTTCGCCTTTCATGAGGAAAATTTGTCCTGTCGGTAGCATCATGTAGACACACGGCACTTTAGCTGCTGTACTAAAAGCATGTCCCTTTATCCCACCAAAATGGAATCACTGTTTGACTCCAATCAATATCTTTCAACTTACAGCCATACTGTCCCAGTTCCCACAGATTATACATATTAAACTAGAAAATCACTACTCGTCTTAAATGATTCATTAAAATATTATGTCTACTCCATTGGTAACGAAAGGTCTACCTCCCCCATAGAAAGCTTGATATCGGAAATTAGGCGAAAATGCGGAAATCAACCCGAGGCAACGGACTCGGACGACTGATCGTGTAAGTGCCGATAAACTCGTCTAGGATTATCAGCGTGGAGGCTATGCAGGTGGAGATCGGACTCCACGCAAAAAGCGGCGTGTATGCAAACGAGATTGCAATGACTGCGCGTTTTCTTTATGTGTTTGATTAGGTCTACAGGCTTTGAGCGTCCCTACAGTCTACACTGATTGCGTGCTAAGCGCTGAAAAGAACTAAAACAAGGAACAGTCCGCTGGCGCGAACAGAGGGCAATATGGTGAATGAGACAAATGTTCACATCTTAAAACGCCGGATCTCCTTTTGGGTCTGTCTGGTCAAATGCGGTCTGGCTTCATCATGCAGCACCATTTTACTGAATATTAGTGGTTAATTAATGACGATAGCTTGGCTCAAACGGTTTAAATTTGGAATGTCACCGTCTACTATTACAACACTGACCTTGCTTCAATACCTCAGGATTGAATATGGCTTCAAGAAACACAGGGCACGACACACCTGGACCGGATTTCGGCGTAGGAACTGGTGTTTGACCTGCGGAACATTATTGTTGTTCGATTTTGATAGCTTATTACTCCATGTTTAACTTCCAGCTACAATTCGATTAAAAAACTGTTTTGTTCTCCTGATTGCGTAACAACACGTCAGAAATTATGAAATACCGGATTTGATTTTTATCAACGGATGACATGTTGTCCAAACGTCCTTTCTGATTACGTTCTCTGTGTATTGAAGGTGCACCTGAAGTTAGGTTTCGCAGGTAGATATGGCACATCGATTACTCGCAAAAACCCACAGTCCAGCTAAACTGGTCTTCTTGCACAATTGGCATCCGAGAGTTCAGAATCGCCGGCTCGGGATTTGGCAAACCAACGCTGGCCCTTGCAAACAAGCAAAGGACCCGAATAAACACCAAAAAGTGTCTTGTCGGTTTTTTTGCTGTTGTTTTCCTTGCGAAAATGACCAGCACGACGGTCTTCTGATCTGCGTATCTCAAATTTATTTAGGCTATAACGATCGCTCAAAATCTTTCTATGCGATCAGCATCGGAGAGTTTAGTATGAGTATCAGTGCATTTCAGGGAAATTGTCCGGTCAAAATTTAGCACACCAATGACGGAACTTGCTAGCACCTAGAGCACTCGAATGGACATTAAAAACTGTAATTGTTACCTTGTTTCCTTTCCAAAAATGTTGCAGGATAAAATAGCTAACACGACTGTCGTCCGGCCTTATGTCCCCCATTTTGATAGGGCAAGGCTAAAACTAAATGTACATTGAAATTCTAAAAAAGCCAGACGATTTGCAAAAACGCATAGGTCAAGATACAAGTACTTGTTAAATAACGTTATTTTGTTATCTGCTGTTAAATAATTTTGCTGTGCATCGCTTCCAAAGCACTAGATTTGGGAAAGGCGTTTCCCATACATTTCAGCTATTTTCAGTCTACTGCCAATTACTTCTTTTAAAGGAATGCATTATTCCGATGTTCCGCATTATTTTCACGGTATGTTATCAGTGGTCGTTAAAATAATACAGCTTTCTACGAAGGACGACAAAATACCACTTTCGTTCCCGGCATGGAGACAAGAGTTCAATCCTAAGTGGAACCTGATTTATTGTAGCAGTATCTTGCCCCATGGCATGCATTTCAGTAAGCTAAAAATGTCGCAAAAACTATCCACAAGAGGTGACACTTTGGCAGACAAATTATTGGAGAACCGCCAGGTCGTTCTCTAAAAAACCCTTGTCGCTACGAGAAAGAAATATGTAGCCTTTTGAAAGAACACACATTTTGCTGGTTTTTGTCGCAAGTGGATTTAATTGGTTGTTATAAATTCTCAGGATTTTTTTCTACAAAGAAATGGGGCGCGGCATGACATGTGTACCTTAGTAACTAACACTTTTATGATCTGGAATATTCTGATCGAAATAGTTCCCTAGAGTCCTATGTCACACGAATGAACTTTTTTTGAATTTCTGATGATCTGTGGGCCGAGACATAATTCGTAAAATTTGCTGGTTGGCTCTTCATTGACATGTGTATTTTAAAACCAATCAAATCCAATGAATCAGCAGACGTCAAGCGCGAGGTTATATAAGCTACAATCAGACGGCGATCACGAGAAACTGGCGAACATTTGCATTCCCCTTTCAAAACCTCGAGTTAACCTGCTTCAAAGAGATGGGTCTCATGTTCAGTCGTATATTCAATCGCTTTTTTGGCAAAAAAGAAGTCAGAATCCTCATGGTGGGCTTGGATGCCGCAGGCAAAACCACCATCCTGTTCAAGTTGAAATTGGGTGAGGTTGTCACGACAATTCCCACAATCGGTTTCAACGTCGAGACAGTGGAGTACAAAAATGTCAAGTTCACCGTATGGGACATTGGAGGGCAAATTAGGATCCGCCCGCTATGGCGCTACTACTTTCAAAATACGCAAGGTACGCGTAACCGTTTTTTATGATGTTCCAGGTCTTGTATTCGTCGTTGACAGTAATGATTGTGAAAGAATAGTCGAAGTTCGTGAGGAATTACAGGGTATGCTAAATGAAGATGAGCTACGTGATGCCGCCTTGCTGGTGTTTGCAAATAAACAGGTATGCATGTTGAAACAATAAATGTCTTTTCCATCACAGGATCTGCCAAACGCAATGCCGGCCTCTGAGATAACAGAGCGGCTCGGTCTCTGCGCTCTTCGTGGACGTCAGTGGTACGTGCAGGCCACGTGCGCTACATCAGGCACTGGTCTCTACGACGGCCTGGACTGGCTGAGCAACAGCCTTTCCTTCGCCAAACGATGAACTTGCAACTCTGACAGACACTCATTTCAAGGTGATTTTGTAAATACCGAGGGATTCAGGAATCTCCGCCATTATTCCACGTCTGAATCCAACCTGTGTCTGTGAATTCACCATCATTTTTCCTAGTCGCGCGATGCTTGTGACTTTGCACTTTCCTACCTTTTACTTTCACATGTGAATACGCACTGTATATATCACCCTGTCCTACCACACTATCGTTTCTTCAACTTTACCCGTCTATTAATGGGGTATACATGCCAGCGGTTGAATGAAATTCTGCATTCACCAAATTCGTTCTTTAATGTTAATGTGACTTCGCGGAGCTGTCGCTAGATGTGAAATTTACACTTATGGCTGATATTTGACATTCGTCACTCGGTTAGCAACGAGTAAGTTACGGAAACGGAATATGCGTAACTGGTTAAATGGCAGCATCGCGAGAATACTTTTGCTCTAGACAAATTCCCTTCAGACCTGTATATTTATTTTGCTCAAAGGTGTGCCTTAAACGTGCAGTTCTTATTTGCCAACAATGGATAGACAGGTGGATGGGGTAGCCATGGGCTCTGAAGTTGTCTATCGTTTAATGAATAGATTCATGGGTGAGCTAAAGGCTTTCCAGTTTTGTCGCCAGATCCTCGGTCTACGTCGACGATAATTTTGCGATTGCGCCCAAATATAACGACGTCTTAGTTCTACTGAATGATAGAAATCAGTCAAACTCATTAGTAAAACTTGCGTTGGAAAAAGAACAGTCTGTTTTGCTTCCCTTTCTGGGCGTGATTCTATGCAGATGGCCGGACGGAAGTATTAGAGGTAGAGACTATGAAGTGCATGTGAGCTTACCCTGCTCCTGTGGGACAGAATGTAGTGATCGCACGAGTTTGCTTGTGTCCAGAAGAGTACGAGAAGATCATCAAGCATGATACGGAAAAGGTGAAATAAAGAATATTACCAGCTCTATCCATACGCACATGGTAGACAGAGACTATCATTTTGATGTCAGTTAGGCCGTTCAGGTGCTTAACAAGGCTAAGACGCCAGAAATGGCCATTCCAGTCTCCCTTGTCTTTGTCGGTAATGCCATTCTGCCTACATCATGCGCCGCAGTGCGGCTGCTGGTTGGGATCGAGAGAGAGCCCAAAAGGCATAACGGAACGAGTGAGTTCCGTAAGAACGATCGGTGAGCGCCCCCTACCATTGTATATTGCCGATCGAAACCGACAGGTCAACGGGCTCGTGTATATATATATATATATCAACATGAGAGAAGATTCGAGGTCCATATAGATTATCCCGTTCGTCATCCCCAAAGGAAGACGAAGAAGAAAAAGAGGCGATGCCATGGACCACACTGTATTGGTGCTGACGTTTCGGAAACGTCCTCGTTTCCATCATCACAGTAGTTGTAGTTTGTTTGTTCTGTCTCGCCGCCTATCTCGTGTTATAGGCATGCCTGCTACACGAACACTTAGGTCTCTCCGTGGCCACCCGCTGGGGCGCTGGTGTGACCTCGGCCCCCTGCCCAGTCGCTGTTGTCGCTGTTAGGTCCGTGTGCCCGTGGGCCCTCCCCCCAAAATTTGACGGGCCGATCAGCTGCCGTTGCATGTGGGAATCGCGGTCGGCTGTTTGGGCGCGTCGGTGGGTCAATGTCTCGCGTCGGTCGTCTGACACCCGGCTGGCTCTCTCCCCATGCTGTGAAGGTGACAACTGTTAAGAGAGCCGCGATTTGTTCGCCAGTGCTGTCGGCCCCGTCCGAACTGACTGGAGCCTCGTACGAAGGACCTGGTAGGCCGGATGAAGATCAATGGCTCGGTTGACTGTGCCGACTGAGGACCAACTTTCGAGAACCAGTCTGGTCATCTTGTCGCTGACTCGGCCGATGACGCTTGCCTCCCCAAAGGCGAAACTGTGCTTCTCCTGTTTCATGTGGTCATATACCAGTGACAACTTATCCTCGCGGTTGACTGCAAGCTGGTGCTCGTGCTGAGGCGTTTGCCCGTTTCCCCAACATACCTTGCATTTCAATCTTGGCAAGGTATGCTGTAGACCACTGCTGATTGTTCCGTTGCAGGTAGATTGTCTTTGGGCCTCATTATCTGCTGCCTGATAGTGGATTCCGGTTTATGGGCCACCCCAATGCCAAAAGGGCTCAGGATTCTTGTTGTCGCCTCAGAAACATTCCTCATGTAGGGGATTGCGAGCCAGAACTTTCTGCTTCTAATCACTAGGTCGTTCGCGGTTAAATCCTCTTCGGCACTCACGTATGAAGGATCGTGGGTAGCCATTGGGTGTGAAAATATATATATATATATATATATATCGCGTTCATCATCTCCCGAAGAAGACGAAAAAAAAGAGGGCGAATTCATGGACCATATTGCATTTGAACTGACGTTTCGGAAACTTCCTCGTTTCCATCATCAGAGTAGCGTAATTGTTGCACTTGCCGGTTTTGAGTTGTTCAGTCTTGCCACTTGCCTCGTATTCTAGCCGCGCTGAACGCACGAACTTTGACCTGCCTGTTTGCCGCTGACTGGCTTAGACCTCCCCGGAGCTGACCGATGACAGACCCGCTACTCTGATGATGGAAACGAGGAAGTTTCCGAAACGTCAGTTCGCCCTCTCTTCTTCTTCGTTTCTTTGGGAGATGATGAACGCGATACAATATCTGGACCTCGAATTTTTACGCATATCGATATATATATACAAATATAATTATAAATTTATATGAAAAAGAGGAGGCTCTTAGGAAAATTGGATATCCGTTGAACCGGAAGAACCGATATATAGACGCCAATTCTTTATTAAGTATGTCATTACTGCTGCAGATGCAGTTGGTCCGATGGAATGTATTGCGGACATAACTTCGTTTATGGGCCGTAGGATGATTGCTCCCATAGTTAATTATGATTTCGGCGCTAGAACTTTTTTGGTGGACTCTTGTTGCTAGTTTGCCATCACTAACTCTTTGTATACTCCCATCTAAGGACGGGATGGTTTCTCCTGTTGCTTCTTCGCGAGTAAACTGTATAGCCGGGATGACTCTATTTAAGTTCTGGTGCAAGCGTTCAACTTCGCTGGTCTTTATGATGTTAAATGTGTCGTCCATGAAGCGGAGCCACATTTTTGGTTCGAAGGTTTGCACAACATCCTGTTCTAGCCGCTGCAGGACTCGTTCTGAAAGCAGCCTCCATAGTGGCGAGCCCATTGAGATGCCCTTTACTTGTTAATAGAACTTGCCATCGAACTGACAATAATTCTTCAGGCATAACTTAAGCATGTCTAGAACATGCTGTGTTGAAATGCCAATGGGAGTTTGCTCTAGACATCGGGATACGCTGTCAATTGCTAGGTGATGCGGTATTGGAGAAAACAGGGCAACAACATTGAACGATAGGATGCATTCGTCAGGACTTACGTCAAGGGCTTGGAAATTTTTACGAAAGCCTGAGAAATTTTGACGCTGTATTGCGATCCCTTTGTGAGGTGTTTTAAGTGTCTGCATAACCTCTTGGCAAGGTTGAAAGTAGGGGATCCAAAAAGTGGCACTATGATCCTCAGCGGCGCAGTTGTCTTGTGCACCTTCGGAGGACGTGCGATACGGGGTCATTGAGGGACATAGATCTGCTGTTATCGGGGCTTAGGAGCTTCACTCGGGCAAGCTATATCACTTTCTCCTTGATAGCAGCGGCCTGGTTTTCGTTGGGTGTACAGAGAGTGACGCATAGGCTTCTCTGTCATCGAAGATTTGGTTTGCCTTGTTGACGTAGTCAGCCTTGTCCATGATAACGGTTGCTCATCCTTTGTCAGCAGACATAATAATAATTTTGTCGTTTGTAGTCAGCGATCGCAACGCCTTCTCCGCTTCGCTCAATAGGGTATTATGATGTTTCCTTTGTCGAAGGAGACCAGTTCCGCAACTACGAATGTCCTCACACATGTCATCAGGGACATCGCAGGTCAGTAGTAGGGATTCAAGGTTGGCTAGGAAGGACGTAGGTGCAGCATCGGTGTGACTGCATCTAATTGCCTTAGATAGAAGGCTTATCTCAGTGGATGGTAGATCCCTTTTCGAAAGGTTAACAACCTTCGTAGGCATTCGGTTCTCGCTGGCCGTGCAAATAAGCGACTGTAGTTTCTTTTTCAGATCGGTCCGTCTCTTTATTCTGGCGTCTTTAGTGGTGGCGTTTATTCGGTAACGTATTTCTAAAATAAGATTATCAGGTAAGCCTGAGACGCATGGGCTTCTAGGGTCAGAAATTGTGGCTTCGAAGCATCAAGGACTATGGTGGACGTCGGATTTAATGGCACTCAAAACACGAAATACATACCTGCGCGCAAGTCGTCTTCCGGTCTCATTTAGCAGAGTGGGCTTGAATCGGATAGACTTTGGTAGGACTATCGCTTTAGTTGGGACGGTACTGCACTGATTGCAAGGGCTAACACCAGAAAGACGCGAGAGTTCCTCGAAGCTTGGCATTCTGGCACGAACAGCATCAACCGCCATGTCGATCTAGACGCTCACTACGAGGGCTTACGTACACGCCCACTGTCCGTTTCCCACAACCTAACAACTGCTAGCCCTCTCTTGGCCACAATGACGTATGCTGTATCACCATTCCGCACTCCCCTTGCGACACCGTGAACAACAACCGAAACCCCTAAATCCTCCAACGCCGACGCATTACCCTCTGACCTCATCCCGCATCAGTGACCAGCCGTCCAAATGCCCACTCATCCGCAATTCCCCCGCTCTTTCTCCACCTCCAACACAGGGAGCCCTAACGGTTCTTCCTCCCCTCCTCCTGCCACGCAGCCTACCATATCTCGGTGCCCAACCCTCTCACGCATCTGCTGTTTGTTTGTCGTTGTCTGTCCTGTCGCGCCAGCCGATCAACTCTGCCGATCTCACTTTCCCCTCTGTTTATTTCGTGCGCCGACGGGTCGGTGTTACCGACATGAAAAATTTCGAGTATAACTATTTTTCATCATATCCC